AATGGAAATAATGAGTCCATAGGGAAAATCTTTGAACTTTGTATTATTAGAAATCATTCCTTCTATGCCATCCCTATCCCAAATTATTTGATTAGGGCTTTTGGATCCTTTTGGCTATAGGCAGGTATCTTTTATCAAAAAAGTGCTTCTCAAACCATAAAGTAATATAATAATAATTATTAAATCTTCAAAAGAATAGCTTTTTTAAATTTTTGAATGATTGAAAAAATTACAATAACAATATTCAGAACCCGGTTTTAGTTTGATAACTTTATGCAATTAAAGTATGATTTCAAATGTTGAAAGATGTTGATTCAATTTTCTTGCAAAAATACTTGGAAAATTTTGATTATCATCAAGTTTCCCTTGAAGTTTGGAATAATATAGAAGATAATTCAATTCCTATTCAACTCTAAATCTCTTAAGAATTCAATGAAATTAATAATTCGCTTTTAAAGATAATATAACCTAATCTTATTTTAAAAAATAACTCATTTAATAAAGTTCAAATTCAAAAAGAAAGCATAATCTCATTAATTTTTGATACATTAAAAGAGTAAAGTCTTACAAGTTTTGACTTTTATAGAGAGTTTATTAATTATTACCATTTGAAATAAATAGAAAAATTTAGGAAAATCTATAAATATTGATCATTTTCTATATGATGTATAATAATTTTCAATTTAACTCGCAAAAAAAATGAATAATAAATAAGTGACTTAAGTTTAATATAGATAATAAGGGTTATTATATAAATACGAGGAAGAAGAAGAAAAATGAATTTTTTAATGATGATATTTTATATGGATCTTATAAAAAAGATATAAGAAGTTGTTCATTGATCTAAAAAAAAGGTGCAAACTTTTCATTTATCCATAAGTCCATTTAAAAGTTCTTAATTGCAGTTGATTTATATGAATCTTTCGTTTTATCATAAAATCTTGATATGGAAATATTGAATTCAATAATAGTTTAATTATCAAAAGAATAAAATTTAGATTAAGATTGCTTAAAATTTCTCTCAAATTTAAATCTTCCTAAAATGGATATTTAATTTGTTAATTTATTTTTTTTTGAAAGATAACAGAAAGAAAAAATTTTTTAGAAGAAAATTAAAATAATTATGAATCTTATCGAAAAAATAAAAGAAGATGACTTTAATTCGATTAATTATACCACTGAAATTTTTACAGAAACAAGAAAATTTTTGAAATAAAAAATAACTTCAGATTTCAAAATTATATAATTTTTATAATTACTTATACATCTTACTAAGATAGATAAAAAATTCATTTAGAGTGGATCTAACTCATTAAATTTATTAGTTGAGATGAAAGTAGATCTGACCAATAAATGTTTTTCAAACATAAAAATTAAAAATACATCTTTAATCGGGGCTAATTTTGTCAGATGCAATTTGAGTGGATCACAATTCGAAAATGTAGATATTAGTGGATTAAACTTGAATGGAGCGCTACTATTTAATTGCAACTGGAAGAAGATGAAAATTTATGAATTAAATAAATTGGAAGGCCATAATAGTTTTGTAAGATCTGTCTGTTTTTCTCCTGATGGTACTATTTTAGCATCTTGTAGTGATGATAAGTCTATCCGTTTATGGGATTATAAGGCAGGATAATAAAAAGCTAAATTAGATGGTCATAGTGATGGAGTCAAATCAGTCTGCTTTTCTCCTGATGGCACTACATTAGCATCTGGTAGTGTTAATAAGACTATCTGTTTATGGGAGGTTAAGTCAGGACAATAAATAGTCAAATTGGAGGGCCATATTGATTTAGTCAATTCAGTATGCTTCTCTCCTAAAAGTAATATATTAGCATCTGGTAGTGATGATAAGTCTATCAGTTTATGGGATTATAAAACAGGATAATAAAAAGCTAAATTGGATGGTCATAGTGATGGAGTCAAATCAGTCTGTGATGGTACTACATTAGCATCCGGTAGTGATGATAAGTCAATCCGATTATGGGATATTCAGGCAGGATAAAAAGCCAAAATAGATGTTCATACTTCAACTGTCTTCTCAGTATGCTTCTCTCCTGATGGTGCTACATTAGCATCTGGCTGTGGAGGTGTTGCAGATTTTTCTATCCGTTTATGGAATGTCAA